GCTCCACAGAACGTCCTTCACTGGCGAAGCAGAAGTATCCAGCCACTACACTCATTTGAAATTCATCATTTTCCCAATACAGAGGAGGAGAAAACTAAAGGAATCTTCTCAATTTTATTTTTAAATTTTATTTATTTATTTATTTTGAGGCAGAGTCTCACTCTGTCGCCAGGCTGGAGTGCAGTGGCACGATCTCAGCTGGGTTCAAGTGATTCTCTTGCCTCAGCCTCCTGAGTAGCTCGGATCACAGCCTCTGCCTCCTGGGTTCAAGTGATTCTCTTGCCTCAGCCTCCTGAGTAGCTTGGATCACAGATGTCCATCACCACACCCGACCTTTTTTTTTTTTTTTTTGTATTTTTAGTAGAGACAGGGTTTCACCATGTTGTCCAGGACGGTCTCAAACTCCTGACCTTAGGTGATCTGCCAGCCTTGGCCTCCCAAAGTGCTGGGATTACAGGTGTGAGCCACCAGACCCAGCCTAATTATCTCAATTTTAAATGTTACTCCCCTATTTTTTTTTTCTTTCAAACTCTGGTCTTCCCTTGCCTATTCAACCAGAATTTAATGTGAGGTATCAACTCATTTGGCACATAATTATACACTTAGTGATTTTGAGATTCTGTGAAGAAAGAGTACCTCAATTTCTATACAAATCTGAAAACCACAATGCCAAGAGTTGAGGAATCAAAAATAGTATAAGCCATGGCAGATCAATTCCCTCAATTAATTACAACCCTGTTATAGAGAGGATAGAGAGATAAAATTAAAAATAAGAAACTTTAGTAAGTGATGAAAAAGGCAGTCAACCAAGTTCTACAGGAGATCTGTGAAAGCAGTGAGATCATTAGAGACATGAAATAGTAATGAGAAAGAAGGTGATTCAAAACAAGTAGGGTTTGAAGGAAAGAAGCATTTAATATGGCTAGGAGAAAAAAGGGACAGCATGGTGGCAATTTCAGGCTGTGCTACGACGTTGGCAGACCTGTGAGTTTTATCTCGCAAACTCATAGTGGTTAGAAAAAGAGTTGTGATGTGAGAATTTTAAGTCAGGTAACACACAAATTCTCAATTTTATGCATTTCAGTCTAAGCTCAATGTCATATAAGGTAAAAATCTCAATAAACATAAAGTAAACCACAAGATCTCTTATTAGCGATAGAAAATACATGAAATCCAGGTCCTTGTCAGGAACTTGAACTAGAACTTCTGTTTTCCAATCCTTATTGAAGGTTTGGTACAAAAAAACACGCATAGACATTTTTCTATGCATGGCTCTGAAAGCCAGGTAATCTTTTCCTTTTGACTTATCTGAATTGTATTCTTGAACTAGACCAGATTAGACTTCTGCTGATTTATCCCACTCCTAAACTCTCATAATTATGGTTGCTGGAAGAATGTTATCCAAATGCTGTCCTCTTTATGTACTTCAGGTCTCAATAACAGGAAAAACAATGTTTTTATCCAATGGACACTAAAACCTATGGATTATTCCCCTTTGCTTTGGCCACAAGGAAACTCAACGGTAATATGTGCAACCTTTCTCTAATAAATGGATGGACTATCTAGTTTGCATCTCCAGAAGGAAATGTTACTGCAGTTTATTATTCTCCTGTATCTATTTTCCTTCTTCTGACTCCCTTACTTGGCCCCTTCAATTTTTTTTTTTCCCTAAATTGCCTCAAATCCTTTGTGTGGAATAAGCTGGAGTACAACTAAATAAAACTACATAATACAAAATCTAGAATTTTCAGTTAAATAGAATGAAGGGATGTTAAAATGTTACATTTTACTTTTAAGAACAGTCAAAATAAATTTTTTTAATTTTAAAAAAGAGAGTCAAAAGAAAAAAATTGCAAAAGTGTTTAAGTCCAGCACACCTACCAGAATTAATATACATTCAAGCCAATCTCCTATAACTTTGATATTTGTTTATACCACTATACATTCACAAATAAAACTCAGAATAATGACCCAGGGCACTAACAGAGCCTATTAAATAAAATACTGAAATATTTCAAGTTTTTCCTCTAAAAAAATAGAAGTAGGTTGAGACATCATTTTACATATATTTTAATCACCATAATCACAATATTTTCTAATTAAGCCCTCAGAAACCCCAATTAAATATAACATCTTACCATTATCTTACCATTACCCAGGTGCTCCAAGAAATTGTAGACATTCTCTAAGGTTCTATCCTGGGCCTCTCTCTAAACCCAGTAGGCATTTTTCCCCTCACAATATCAACCACATCTACGTGAATGTTTCCAAAATCTCTATCCCATCTCCACTGAACTACCTTGTCAAAACCTCAATTTATTTATTTTATTTATATATACATTATTTGAGACAGGGTCTTGCTCTGTCACCCTGGAATGTAGGGGTGAGATCACGGCTCACTGCAGCCTCAACCTCCTAGGCTCAAGCGATCCTACCACCTATGTCCCCAGAGTAGCTGGGACTATATTATGCTTGGCTAATTTTTTAATTTTTTGTAGAGATGGCGTCTCCCCATGTTGCCCATGCTGATCTCAAACTCCTGGGCTCAAGTGATCTGCCTGCCTCAGCCTCTCAAAGTGCTGAGATTACAGGTGTGAGCCACTGTGCCTGGCCTAAAACCTCAACTTAAATAATTAAAGTGGGCCAGGTGCAGTGGCTCATGTCTGTAATCCCAGTACTTTGGGAAGCCAAGCAGGAGGATCACTTGAGCCCAGGAGTTTGAGGTCAACCTGGGCAACACGGTGAGACCTCATCCACTAAAAATAAAATTAGCTGGGTGTGGTGGTGTGCCCCTGTCGTCCCAGCTACTTGAGAGGCTGAAGTGGGAGGATCGCTGGAGCCCAAAAGGTTGAGGCTCAGTGAGCTGTCATCATGCCACTGCACTCCAGCCTAGGTAACAGAGCAAGCCCCAGTGTCTTAAAAAAATGATCAAAATGGAGCTTCATTATCTTTCTCTTCTGCCTCACACCTCATAAACAGTCTGTTCCAAAGATCTCATTTCTGGTAATGACACCATCATTCTGTCCAATTCCAAGGCTTCAGTCATCTTTGCCTCTTCCTTCTTTTCATCTCTGGTATTCCATCCTATCCAGCTTGGTCACTTCTTTTGAAGTGATCTAACTTCAAAGTGATCCCCAATCAAACTATTTCTCTTCATTATCATTCTAGTTCTTTTGGCATTCTAATTTTCATTTGCACATTTATTTTCTTATTTCAGGCCCTAATAACAAGTTGACCTCTCCGCCTTATCTCTCTCCTCTTGGACTGTCCATCTCACCCTAAGTTCCACTGTCTCAGGACTGTTTTTTATCAAGTCACTTCCCTTGAATTTGCAGCAGAGCTTCCTATAACATATTACCTCAAAGTGACACCCTTCAATCTGAACTTTCAGGGCAATCCAAGATCTGGCCCCATAGTGATTATCACACGTGTCTCACAACTATCCCTAAATCACCATCCACTGACCCAGGATAAGCATGTTAACACACCTACCATGCTAAGTCATGTTCTTTGCTTATTCTGCCTCTCCTCCGTACACCTGGAATGTCCTCCTCCCTACCTTAGCCAACTCTTATTAATTCTTCAGGACATGGCTCATGTCTCATCTCAACAATGAAGTCCTCTGTTTACTATATCCTTTATGGACTGTATTTTTACCTTATTTCCTTCTGTATGTGTAATCAGTATCAAGCTGCTCAGACGTTAATCGTTCCGTAATTGTTTCACGTCTAAGCTTTCCAAGGTGGTCTCATCCATTCCCATGGTTTTAATCACAAACTGTAGGCTGACTTCCAAATCTAAATGTCTATACTTGTCCTCTTCACTAAGCTTCAGACTCATATCTCCAGCTGCTTACCTAGCAGTGCCCCCTGGATGTTTAATGGGCATCTCAGATTTAACATGTCCAAACAGCACTCTTACTTTTTACCAATCAGACACACTTATCCTCTCCTTTCTTGCTCATTTGAGCTTCATTATTCATCCAGTTCCTCAGGTCAAAAAACTACAGGTGATTATTCTTCTTTTTCCCTCACATCCCATTTCAATCCAGTAGGAAGATTTGCTGGTATTAATCCCAAAATATAGCCCCAATCTATTTCTATTCATTACAACCCTAGCTCGTTACAATCAGCACCTCCACCTGAACTTCTCTAAGAGTCTTCCATCTGACCTCTCTGCTTCCACTTTCTCCTTTATTCTTTACAGTGCAGCCAGAATGACCTACTCTAAGCCAAATGAAATCATGTAACTCTCCAGCTTAAAACTACCCAGTATCTTCCTACTGCATTAAACTAAACAGACTAATAGACTCCAAACTTACTACATAACCTGCCCCATTCCTACCTTTCTGGCCTCACTTTCTGCAACTCTATTAATTGTCCATAATGCTTCAGGATCACTGGTTTTCTTTCTGTCTCTTGGTATGTAAAAACGGGCTTCTCCACTGGCTGCTACCTTTGCCTTGCTCTTCATACACAGCATCCTTCATGTAACTACCTCCTCTCTCATCTTTTAGGTCTCTGCTCAAATGTCACCCTCTCAGAGAGTCCCTTGACCACCATAAATAGTCACTCTCTAACCCATTTGCCCAGTTTTACTTGATTTATATATGATACAGTGATAAGTGCTACCCCCTCCCACTAGATGTAAGCTGCTTCAGTTCTTTGAGGGCAGATATTAGGTAAAAAATTTTATTTCCAATTGTAGTTTGCCTACTACACCCCTGGGTAAGTAAGAATGCAAATAAATACTTAGTGATGAACTTATAAGAGGAATACCTATGATCTGTGCAACTATAAAATTTCCTAGAGCCAGATATAAACACAAAGAAACTACAAAAAGGCTGCGGCTGACATGATGACTATTTAGTATAAGCTCAGAATATGATTCTTGACTTGAACAGGCTTTCCTAATCACTCCTTTCTATTGCAACCACTTAAACTTCATTCAAATGACAACTACTGGGCAAGCGAGTCAAATGAAGCAAACTGAAGTCTTACTTAATGTTATAATGTCCAGTTTTCAGTGTACATCTATCAGGAAGTTGAGCAAGTTTCCTCGAGAGCATTTTAAAATACTTTCTGCACTCCTGCATTCCTGTGCTTTGTTCATAATCAGTAGAAGCAGAAAGTGGCAGTCCATCTCTGACACGAATGACTGAGGCAGATAAAATCATAGACATTTCAACCAACAGAGAAGACCTAAAACAAAATGAACAATTTGGGTTAGATAAAAATTAAAGCCAAACTTGATTAGCATATGTAAAACTATTCAACTTACAAGTAATATAAGAATACTAATTAAAATGGCCAGGCACAGTGGCTCACACCTGTAATCCCAGCACTTTGGGTGGCTAAGGCGGGCAGAGCACAAGATCAGGAGTTTTGAGACCAACCTGGCCAACAAGATGAAACTCCTTCTCTACTAAAACTACAAAAATTAGCCGGGCATGGTGGTGCACACCTGTAATCCCAGCTACTCAGGAGGCTGAGGCAAGAGAATTGCTTGAACCTCGGAGGCAGAAGCTGCAGTGAGCTGAGGTCGTGTCACTGAGCTTCAGCCTGGGCAACAAAGTGAGACTTTGTCTCAGGAAAAAAACAAAACAAAACAAATTGAAATAACATATTATGCTTCACTTAACATATTTGCTTTTTTTGTTTTGAGACAGCATCTTGCTCTGTCACCCAGGCTGGAGTGCAATGGCGCCATCTTGGCTGACTACAACATCTCCCATCCAGGGTTCAAGCAATTCTCCTGCCTCAGCCTGGGATCCCATGCCACAGGATAGGATGTGTCTGGGACCACCGGCGCCTGCCACAGTGCTGGGATTACAGGCGTGAGACACTGCACCCAGTCACATTAGCTTTTTAAAAAATAATACTTCTGTCTGGCATTCTCATAAGTACAGATGGAAGTAAAAACTGGTACAAACAGTTCTCAAAATGATTTGGCAATTTCAACAGGAGTTTAAAGGCATATCTTTTGACCTCAATAAATTTAAATATATACCTGTCTTGAGAAAAATAATCAGAAATCCAGACAAAATTTTAAACAGACATTCTTCCACTCAAATAACTGAAAGCAATCTAAATATCCTATAACATGGTGATGGTTAAGTAAATTATAGTATATTCATATAACAGAATATAACGCAGCAACTAAAAGTTATGTTTGTGGAAAAAGTTTAATAATGTGGTAAAATGCTTATATGTTAAAGAGAAAAAAGCAGGATAACAATTGCAAATGTTGTTTTACACAAACATAAGGATAAAGAGGCAAAGATAAAGAGAAGGAAAAAGGGATTGAAAAATGGATGCAGAAAAAGATGCCAAATTAAGACTATGCCCACCTCTACGAAATGGTATTATGGGTAATTATTATTTTGTAATTTCCTAAATGTTCTCAATATTCACAGTAGACATATACTACTTTTATAATCGAAAAAAAATTATTTAAAGTAAATCCTAAAGCTAAAGGATATTGGTTTTAATGTTGTTCTCAATTGTTTTACCAGGAAGTAAATCTTAATGGCCTATTTTATTGGATTCTCTTCTTGCTTTACAAAAACAGATGAAAGGACTTCACAGGCCTGAGTCTGAAGGAGCTCAGGTCAACAGTCACTCAACCTTTCATAAAATATACAGTGGCTCTCAAACTTCAGCTTGCATAAGAAGTTGATAGTTAAAAATGCAGATTTCTGGGCTCTGCCCTCAAAATTCTGAACCACTGACTGTGAGATAGGGCTTGACAATCTGCTCATTGTCTAAGGCTCATACTTTTTAAAACATTAAATTAAAACACGTTCACTATCTAAGATTAAGTGATAACTCTTCTGTCAGGCACAATGTCACTAAGGGCTTCCTCACTAGTGGTGAGGCAACCGGTGAAAATTCAAAAATTTGATTAAAATCTCATAGGCATTTTTCTAAAAATATTGTATCTTAGAGACTAAATTAATCCTTACCTGACCACTTCATCTAGGTCAATATTATCTCATTCCAAAAAGGAAAAAATGAGTTAGTAATACATATTTAAAAAAAAAAACCCCATAGAAAACCAACTGTTACAAAGCTTGTAAATCAGGAGTTGATAATTTTCACTGCTGTGTGAAGTCAAAATCCGACTTCCCATTCATGGTGATCACTGATCTGACAATAAAAATTAACCCAACTAATAAAGCTAATGCATTAAGTTCACTATCCCTTTTTCCTCTTTTCATGAGGAAGAAGGAGAAATCTCTAGGTGTTACTGTGTCATTACCCTTTAATATTTTTCTCCTTTATTTAGAGACAGGGTCTCTCTATGTCACCCAGGCGGGTACAGTGGTGCGATCTCAGCTCACTGCAACCTCCACCTCCCAGATTTGAGCAATTCTCATGCCTCAGCCTCCCGAGTAGCTAGGATTACAGGCACACGCCACAACGCCCAGCTAATTTTTGTATTTTTAGTAGAGACAGAGTTTTGCCATGTTGGTCAGGCTGGTCTCAAACTCTTGGCCTGAAGTGATCTGTCCACCTCAGTCTCCCACAGTACTGGGATTACAGGCGTGAGCCACCACACCCAGCCCCTCCATTCATTTAAAGAGAAAAATATCCAGAAGCAAATTAGTCTTTTTATTACAGTGGAATCTCCAAACTAAAGTCCCAGTGTGACATATCCCAATCGGTGTTTTTTTTCCATTCATCCAGTTTTTTTCTCTTCTAAAAGCAGTAGCATGAAAAAGCTGGGATCCCTGAAAAGATACCTATACTATAAACTCCTCTTTAAATTTTTTTTTACCATGTTTTATTTAATTATTAAATCAAAACTGTAACATTTAGCCTAAGTGTAAGAAAGTAAGAAAATGTCTTACTTTATACCCTTAAGCATTTATTATTTAACTATAAAACTGTTGTCTTTCCAGAAGTACACTGCAACACAATAACCATTCTGGGAATTAATTTGAGGGCAAGTTGTAACTTACAGTTCTAAATACCCATATTTTAGTATTTAAAAGTAGATTGGTTTGGGTGCCATGGCTTATACCTACAATCCCAACACTGCTTGAGGCCAGGAGTTCAAGACCAACCTAGACAACATGGTGAGACTCTGTCTCTACAAAAAAATTTTAAAAATCAGCTGGGCACAGTGGCACACGCCTACAGTCCTTGCTTTGGGGAGGCTGAAGCAGGTGGGTCGCCTGAGACCAGGAGTTCGAGGCAACAGTGAGCTATGATTGTGCCACTGCACTCCAACCTGGGTGATGAGCGAGATCCTGTCTCAAAAAGTAAAATAAAAGTAGACTGCATTACTTTATGTCTGGCCTCTCTAGGATCCTAATAGAAATATTAGGAATAGTCTTTATTAATAGGTTGCCAAATTTCATGTAGTCTTCAAAGTTATTCTTTAATGACTTGGAGGACAGATCAATAAATATATGATCCATACTTTCTAAAACACGTACTGTAAAAAGAATACAATTTTTGAGTTCCATTCGTTTAACAAACATTCACTGAGTATCTACTGTGTGCCATGAATTTTGCCAGATAGTAGGAACGAAGAGTGCTACCATCAAGAAACACCCCCAAATTAGAGAAATTCAGATGAAAAGAGCAAACAACATAGGTGTTGCCCACCACTTCACTAACTGTAAAACTAAAGTTGGACAAACTTAAATTTCAATTTTTTTTTTTTTTTTTTGAGACAGAGTCTCACTCTGTCACCCAGGCTGGAGTACAATGGCTCACTGCAACCTCTGCCTCCTGGGTTCAAGCAATTCCCCTGCCTCATCCTCCCAAGTAGCTGGGACTACAGGTGCCCCCCACCAAGCCTGGCTAATTTTTGTATTTTTAGTAGAGATGGGATTTAACTGTGTTGGCCAGGCTGGTCTCAAACTTCTGACCTCAAGTGATCTGCCCGCCTCGGCCTCCCAAAGTGCTGGGATTACAGGTGTCAGCCACTGCACCCAGCCTCAAATTTTCCTAATACATACTTTAGCCTTTAACCAAAAGCAGAACACAGCAGTGACATTCCCTGTCAAAATTATTACAAGGTTGTCAGAGAATTGTTTCTACATATCTATAGATAAGATTTTTCTTAGGGAAAAAATTAAACCTCTTCCTACCAGAGTAATTTGATTCAGCATCCAAACCACTTGAATTTAAGCCTGACAAACTGGGATGAATGTCCAATGATCAACGTCAGGCTTAACTAATTTGTAGACAGACTCCAATCACCTTAGGCTAAGCTGTCGCTCCATCAATTCAATAAACATACCCCTACTTTTTTTCTTTTTACCCTGGATTCATAATATAGTTTGTTGTTTTTTAAACTAATCTTATCTAGACTGCACTAGCAGAAAAGGAAATCTGTCCATGTCAGGCCTAAACTAGGTTAAAGTATCTTTAAGGTCTAAGGAGGGTTGTGGTTGGGAAAATCCCAAGGAAGAATCAGTGGAACTGTGGAAAGCAAGAGGTTACAACAATTGCATGGGAAGATTTAGGAGTTTTTAGCTTATCAGGGTCATAGATAAATGTTTAGGGCACTGGGCCATTTCTCCTCACCTTTAATACACAGAAAATATTACACCTGCCTTTGGACAGCAGCAGTTAACTCATAGGGAACCGGAACAGTGGCTATTTTTTCCTCTCCCCATCAGCAACTGTTGGAGGAAAAAGCACAAGTTAGAATCTAGGTAAATCTGGGTAAACTTTTACGTAAAGTCTGAGGAAAATAAATTCCCACAATGCCAAACTACTATGGTAATGAATGGTTAGCAAGTTCTCAGACCCAAGATAACAAGACACCCCTCTTCTTCAGAACCTTGTGTGGGTAATGACTATGGGCTCAATGTCTCAGGAAGGTATCTCTCAAAAGGTAATAAATAAAGCCCAACATAGAAGTGGATTTTGTATATACGTTCTAACCAAATGCTTTCACAAATGCCACTTTTAAGATAAAAACATTTTATACTGGGGGCAAAAGCACTCATATTTGTTTTAGTTCGTAATTTCCCAGTCTTCAGTCATCCAAGTACCACTTTCAGAATTATCTTCATCCATCTGTACTATTTACCTAATATTGGTCTTTGAATTGACTTACTTTTCTTGTCCTTTATTTTTTAGTAATAATATCTGTGAAATCAGTTTTGAGATATTAAGTTTTTCTCCTAATTTAAATTAAAAGAACTTGTTTCATTCAAATATGTATGTGTGTGAAAATTTTGGGAGAACTTTAATATTCATTTGCTTATCAAACTATCTTGCATATGTGACAGTACCAATATGGTACATATTATTTTATTACAAGTGCTAGCTGAGATCTGTGGGAATGGGAAAGGGCGGTAGTTAATTTGGACAGAAAGCTATACTACTTGTGATACACAGGGAGGGTGGGGGATAGATTGGGTGATAAAGAGGATGGAATTTCTGTCATTTTGCCTATGCCCTCTACCTCACTAGCAGTGTGTGACATTCCTATTATGGGTGCTTACACTGCACAGTATGTATAAGACCTCAGGCTTCACAACAGATTTTACCCACATCTAGGACAGGGCCCCCAGTACATGCTCAAATGTGTCAATTCCAACACTCGTATAGTGCCACATAGTTCACAGTTGGGTAGGTAGAACTGCCAATTTACAGATGAGGAAACTGAGGCTTACTTTCTCAATGTCACACTGCTAGTATATAGCAGAACTGGTACTTCAGTCTAAGTTTCTAGTATCTACACACTACTATGCTTCATCAGTCTACCAAAACCAACAAGAGATAAGAAACCAGGGATATAGAAACTAGCTATTCACTTGCTGCCTGGGTTCTAATCCTGGCTCCACCATGTAGCAGACATGTAAATTTGGGCAAGCTTTGCCTTTCTACATCTATACATTATGGCTACTAACAGTATCTATCTCATAGGCTTATTTTAAAGATGACAATAGTATCTATCTCATAGGATCATGTAAAGCGCCTGAAACACTGCCTTGTAACATACTAAAAGCACTATATTAAATATTTGCTATATTATTTATTGATTACTCTCCATGGACCACGCACTTTATACACATTACCTCATTTAAGCCTTCCAAAAACCTGTGAAGTAGGTATTATTAGTTCCATTTTACCTTTGAGGAAATTCAAGCCCAGAAAGCTTAAGGAATTTTTTTAATCCCTAAACTAGTACGTGACAAAGTAGGGATTTAAACTCAGACCCAACTCTAACAACTCTGTGAGACACTCAAGGAAGGTCACAGGCACCCCTGTGATACCTGGGCCTCTTTCATAGACCAACATAAGATATACTTCGATTTTAACCAGTTGCACGCACACACACACAAAAAGGCACTAAACAGATGTGATGGTTTTCAACATAGGAAATACCCGAATGTCCCATTACTTTAGGATACGGTCACAGGTGTCAGAATCAAATACTGAAGGAAACTTAATATGCCAGAAATTGTAGGTACCGTTTAAGGCACTGCCTGATTCCTTCCGATCTTAGCATGTAAGCAAATATCAATAACATGAAAAGTGATTCAGAGTTTGAAAAGTGGCTGTTCCCCTGACTGAAGTTCCCAACATCTCCAGTCTGGTGGCTGACATTTTTGCTCTGGGCTAGGCTTTGCCTTGGCTGAATAGGCCCAGGAGGGACTGGTTCTCAAGGTAGCCCCCTGCCCCAGGTGGATGACCCAGGAAACTAAGCAGCAGGAGAAAAATTATCTTAAGCTGTCTTCACTGGCAGAGAGATTCAGGACAGCTGGGGCTTGTCCTTTTCTTTCGGAAGCCTCCTCCACTTGTTGAGCCAATTGCTCAGGTCTCCCTTCTGCCACATCGTTCCCAAAGTGACTCTTGAGGCAGGGTCTCAAGAGGTTTCCGTGAGCCAACACGGGCAAATATCTGGGTTCAGTGCTCACTCCATCCCCGCAAGACGTAAAGTAAGACACTGGTTCAAGTCCCATTCTGCCTAACAGAAATAGGAAATACCACCTCAAGCTCCCGCGGGCCACCTACACAGGTAGATCACCGTGTTTCTGACAACTGGGCGCCAGGGAATCCCTACCAACCTACTGACAGCCAAGTGCGACTGTCCCTCCCCTTTAGACACTCCTTCCCTGGCTGCCCAATACCCCAGGCGGCTCAGACGAGGCGCAACGGCCGCCCGCGTGGCCCCAGAGAAACCTCAAGTCGAAGGGGACGGGGTCCCTACTTGCCCGTCCCTCCAGAGCTCCGCGACCCCGGCTCCCACCCCAAAGGCACGGACTTGGCTCCTGCCCGTCGGGTAGGTCTTCAGTCCCGAGGGCGAAGACCGAGGCTGTCGCGGGAGGCAGGGAGAGGGAGGGGAGAGGCCGGCAGGGGTTCGAACGACCCCTAAGAAGGGAAGAAGAGGACTGGGAGGGGCCGGGTAGTACCTGTCGAGACGGGACCCGCCGCTCCGAGTGACGCACCCCGCAGTGCATTGTGGGGCCTGGGAGGGGCCTTTCCGCTGGGCTGCGCCGCGTCCAACGTGGCTCGCGCCCGCGGAATCAAACCACGCCCCCGTTCCCTCGGCTCGCCCAGGCCAATCGGATTCTGCAGGAAGGACACAACAACCCGCCCGATCCCAGGACCCGCCTTAGTCCCACCGGCTCCAGGAGAGATTGGCAGCGTCTCTCGCACCTGCGCCAGAAAAGTACAGTCCTCTGATGACAGAACTACGTTGACTTTAGAAATAGGGCCAATCCCCTCCGCTCGCCGCCCTGTATCTGCAGGCATTTTGTCTTTCACACGCGGCCCCTACAGCAGACACTTATAAAGGGGACAGGGAGAAAAGCCCCCTGTGGGTGAGCAAGGAGAGGACCTGGCCCCGTCTATACCCACACACAAGAAGGAAACAAACTATGGCAGAGAAGTGCCAGATGCCGACCCCTTGACCCCTTCCAGCTTTCGCATCGTTCATGCGTTATTAAACAGGCATTTACTGGCTGTTTACCATGTGCCAAGCACCGTGTTAAACGCGGGGTTACAGGAGTGGACATAACACTTGATGGAATTTAAGACGTAATTGGAGCAAAAGATATGAAAGCATAAATAGTTACAGAATTATAAATTGTGATCAGTACTGGGAGGGAAAATTACTGGGTGCAATGATGAATTAATTTTGGACTGTCAGGAAAGAGACTTCTGAATAAGTGCCTTTTAAGCTGCAGGCATATTAAAGAACCTTAGAGAATGTTCCCCGTCAAGGAACTATTATGTGTGAGGTTGTTGGGGCATGAAAGAACTTCTTGTGCTCTAGGAAGTAAAAGGAAGTCAGTGTGGATGGAGTGTAGGGAGCAAGGAGAAACTTCCAAAATACAGCCTGAAATCTGTAATGTGGCCAATAAGAGCCAGCATGGTCTGGCCCTTGTCTCATCTCAGCCCAAGGTCAATGGGCAACTAATAAAGACTATTAAGTAGGATCCTATTTGCATATTTAAGAATCACTCAGGCTGTTTGTGGAGAATAGTTCGGAAGAGGGCAAGAAAGGCTGCTGGAAGGCCATTTGGAGGCAGTTGCATCAGGCAAAGCCAGAAATGATGGCTTGAACTAGTATAATGGGAGTTAGAGACAGAAAGAGGTAGATAATTTCAAGATATGTATAAATTAGAGATGGTATCCAAGGGACTTAATAACAGATTGGTTTGCCGGGAAGGGTCAAGAAAGAGGAATATTAAGGATGACTCCTTAAGTAACTAGATGGATTAAGAAGCCATTTACTGATTCACAGAACACAGGAGGAGGAGCAAATGGCTTGGAATATGTTAAATTTGAAATGTCTATAAATAGAGATGTCAAGTAGATTTGGATATGTAGGTCTAAAGTTCAGAAGAAAGGCCTGAACTAACATAGATTTGGTCCTAGATATATACTCAACATAAATGTATTCATATATTCACCGGAAAACATATGTATAAGAATGTTCATGAAATGAATAAATTTTAGAATATTCTCATCTGGCGCGATGGCTCATGCCTGTAATCCCAGCACTGTGGGAGGTCGAGGGGGGTGGATCACTTGAGGTCAGGAGTTCGAGACCAGCCTAGTCAACATGGTGAATCCCTGTCTCAACTAAAATACAAAACAATTAGCCAGGCGTGGTGGTGGGCATCTGTAATCCCACCTACTTGGGAGGCTGAGGTAGGAGAATTGCTTAAACTGGGAGGCAGAGGTTGCAGTGAGCCAAGATCACACCACTGAACTCCAGCCTAGGCAACAGAGCAAGACTCCATCTCAAAAAAAAAAAAAAAAAAAAAAAAATTCACATAATAGAATACTATATAGGAAGGACAATAATCTACAACTATATGCAAAGCATGCATGAATTTTACAATCACAAAAATTGAGTGAAATAAGTCAGACACAAAAAATGATTACTATATTACTCCATTTACATAATGTTCAAAATAAGAACTCATATAAGGTAATAGAAGTAAAATATTGGTTACCCTTAGGTAACCAATTAGTTACAATTATTAGTGTTAATAATTAGAAAGGAGCAATAAGGGATTACTGGAGTTCTAGTAATGTTCTTATTGATCCAGGTGTTGATTACATGGTGTTTTCAATTAATGAAAATTCACTGGACTAGATATGATGGCTCACACCTGTAATCCCAGCACAGCACTTTGGGAGGCTGAGGAGGCCGAGGCAGGCAGATTGCTTGAGCTCAGGAGTTCAAGACCAGCCTGGGCAACATGGCCAAACCCTCTCTGAAAAAAACGAAATACAAAAATTAGCCAGGCGTGGTGGTGCACACCTGTAGTCCCAGCTACTTGGGGGGCTGAGGTGGGTGGATTGCTTGAGTCCTGGAGGTTGAAATTGCAGTGAGCCATGTTTGTGCCACTGCACTCCACCTGGGCAACGAAGTGAGACCCTGTCTCAAAAAAAAAGAAAAAAAGAAAATTCATCAAGCTGTACACTATACTTATCCAATTTTTCAGTATGTATTTTACTATTGAATAGAAAGTTTATGTTTTTCCAAAGGTTAAGGGCAATCCAGCCATGAATGAATAAGTGATACTAGACTAGACCTCCCACTACAGTAATAGAAAACTGGACCAAATCTATGAAACAAGTGTTTTCAGGCATTGGACAATTGGCATAGTAAAATTGTGATCTTGGAAGAAAGGAAAACAAAACAGATGAGCCCCCAGAATATCCACAGATTTCTTTCTGGAGGTATTTACCTAAGCACAGGATAGAAGAAAGCCAAGCAGGGTTTGTTGAGGACACAGATATTGGAATTAATAGAGATTGAGACAAACGGTATTTGTGGGGCAGAGTGCCAGAGAAAGAGCTCTAGAAATATACATAAGGATTCCTGTGAATCTTTGGTATAACTTTAAGGGTAGACCATATGAGACTGGTAAATAAAATTACTGGGGAAATTTAAGCTGAACAGCTACAAGAACTTGTATAGAGTTTGGAAACATTCAGGCTCTGACTGATTAGAATGAAAAATCTTATTAAAAACCTGCAGCATTTGGTAAAGAGACCCTAAAAAGACCACACTTTAAAGCTAAATTAGCCCAATAGTAAAGACTATTCTAGACCCACTTGAATAAAGCTGAAAAAACTGTTCTGCAAGTAAATTAAATGCTTTCTTGAACGAAACTTAACAGTCTTTCAAGACAGACAACAAAATTCAGGTACTTACCTATGTAATATATGCAATGCCTAGGATCCAATAAAAAAATTACTACACATGTGAAGAAGCATTAAAACATGAGCCATAAATGGGAGAAGAATCGATCAATAGAAACAGACCCAGAAATGACCAGGATGATGAAATTAGTTTTTGTTTGTTTGTTTGGTTTGGTTTGGTTTGGTTTTTTGAGATGGAGTCTCACTCTGTCACCCAGGCTGGAGTGCAGTGGGGCACAATCTCGGCTCACTGCAAGCTCCGCCTCCTGGGTTCACGCCATTCTCCTGCCTCAGCCTCCAGAGTAGCTGGCACTACAGGCACCTGCCAACACGCCCAGCTAATTTTTTGTATTTTTAGTAGAGACGGGGTTTCACCTGTTAGCCAGGATGGTCTCGATCTCCTGACCTTGTGATCCACCCATCTCAGCCTCCCAAAGTGCTGGGATTACAGGCGTGAGCCACTGCGCCCGGCTGAAATTAGTTTTTAAAGCAGATAAGAACTTCACTTTTCTTCTTTAATTTTTTTTTTTTTTAAGTTTTAGAGGGCATCAGCACGCTGGGGTTACAGGCAGGTAAGATAAGAACTTTAAAGAAGCTATTATAAATATGGCCAAGAACTTAAAGAAAGATAAATAATGTGAGACATGAAAACCGTAAAAAGAACCAAATCAGACTTCTAGAGCAGAAAACTACAATATCTGAATGATAATTTTGCTCCATGGGCTTAACAGCAGATTATACATTGCTGAAGAAAAGATCAGTAAACAAAGTAACAGTGAAAAATAATTATCTACATTAAAGTGCAGAGAGAAAAAAAGTTCAAAATAAAATGAACAGAGCCTTGGTGACCTATGGGTTAATACAAAGTTATCTAACATGTATAATCAGAGACTCAGAAAGAAAGGAGAGGTGATGCAAAATATTTGAAGTATTAATGGCCAAAATTTGATTTAAAAATATATAAACCCATAGATTCAAGAAAATAAACTAGGCCAGGTACAGTGGCTCACACCTGTATTCCCAGCACTTTGGAAGACCAAGGTGGGTGGGTCACCTGAGGCCGGGAGTTCAAGACCAGCTTGGGCAACATGGTGAAACTTTATCTCTACCAAAAAGTTAAAAATTAGCTGGGCATGATGGTGCATGCCCGTAATCCCAGCTACTCGGGAGGCTGAGAGAGAAGAATCTCTTGAACATGGGAGGCAAGATTTCAGTGAGCCGAGATCACGCCATTGCACTCCAGCCTGGGTGACAGGGCTAGACTTCGTCTTTTAAAAAAAGTGTATATACACAAAAATTAGCCAGGCATAATGGCACTTGCCTGTAATCCCAGCTACTCAGGAGGCTGAGGCAGGAGAATCACCTAAATCCAAGAAGCGGAGGTTGCAGTGAGCCGAGATCACACCACTGCACTACAGCCTGGGTGACAGAGCAAGACGCTGTCAAAGAAAGAAAGAAACTAACCGCAAACAGGATAAACACCAAAAAAAGCTACACCAAGGCCTGTTACACTCAAACTACTGAAAACCAATGATCAAAAGAAAATATTAGAAACAACCAGAGAGACACTGAAGCCACCTTGCATATATAGAACAAAGGTAAGAGATACTACTGACTTCGCACTTCACATCAGAAAGAAAGAAAGCCAAAATATAATGAAATAAAAAGTTTAAAGTCCTGTAAGCAAAAACTCTGTCAACTCTGAATTCCATATCTAGGAAAAATTCT